AAAAAATAGCTGAGATTGTTGGAGTGGGGATTGAGGGACAAGTCAAAGTTGTCCCTAAAAGTTGGAGTATGGGGGTCTGGGGGAGATGGTGGAGTGAGGTGCTTTGTGCTTTGCAGGTCGTTGGTGGTGCAGGAGGATGGCTGGTTTGGACCTGGGGAGGTGCTGAGGGCAGTCAGATAGAGAGGTCTGAAACAGAAGTAGCCATGGCGCCCTCTAGAGCTGGAGGCTGTTGGTGCAGGGCAGAGTCTCCACTGGGGAGGGTCTTCTCGGCCTCCCCAGGTCCACCATGAGGGTTGCAGATGTTCTGTTCAGCTCTCCTAGAGTGGGCCAGGAGTTGGCTGACTAAGTTTTCCTGCTTCAGAGGTTGTCAGGCCATTTGACAGAACASCACCATCTGGGTGACTCACGAATGACAGAAATTTCTTTCTTAGTGCTGGTGGCTGGAAGCCCAAATCAAGAGGCAGGCAGGTCCAATGTGTGATGTGGTCTCACTTCCTAGGTCACAGATGTTGCCTTCTGTGACCTCGCATGGTGAAAGGGGAAAGCACTCTGGGGTTTCTTTTAAGAGGACACTGATCCCATTCACGAAGGCTGCACCCTCAGGACCTGATTACCTTCAAAGTCTGTCTCATTAAGGGTTAGGATTATTTTCTTTTTCTTTCTGTTTTGGGGGGAGGAGTACTGGTGATTGAACTCAGGGGTGCTTAACCACTGAGCCACATCTCCAGCCCTTTTTGAGACAGGTTCTCACTAAGTTGCTTAGGGCTCACTAAGATGCTATGAAGTAGGCCTCCAACTAGCAATCCTTCTGCCTCAGCCTCCCGAGCATGGGATTACAGGTGTGTGCCACCACACCCAGCCCCTACATTAGGGGTTAGATTTTCAACACAAAATTTGGGGGAGACACAGGCAGTGTATAGCGGGTTGAGTGGGCACCAAGCTTCAGCTCTCTAGAGAGAATCTCACCAAAAAGGTCTTAAGAAGCCATGCRTCATCTTCCAGCAGTAGAACTGGGGAAGGTGTGGAAGGAGGTGGAGATCACTACTCTCATGTCAAAAGACAGAGGAATTACGAAACCTCACTGGGTCTGCCCAAGTCCTTATGCTTTTGCTCCATGAGAATCAGAGTTTTGGATACCCACCCTGCAGAGGGCCAGCTGGCTTTAGACACAGATCACAGCTTTGGCCATCAGAGACCACTGCTGACCAGTGACCAGTTAGGCTAAAAGTCACTTGTCCTATTAGTTGTCCCTATTTTGGGCCCTAATACCTTGGAGAAACAAGGTCATAAAGTGGGAATGGCAAAAAWGGATCTTAAAGCCAAAGTTCTACCTGTCATCTCCTGGGGTCAGGTGCCAGTTGGAACCTACACCAGACAAGGAGGAGAGGTGATGGGATTTAAACTCAATTTGGGGGTTAAGATTTAAGATTAGGCTGAGTTGTATTTTATTTTTTGGTACTGGGGATTGAACCCAAAGCTGCTTAACCACTGAGCCACATCCCCAGCACTTTATATTTTTTATTTTCAGACAGAATTTTGATAAGTTGCTCAGGGCCCAGCTAAGTTGTTGAGGTGGCCTCAAACTTGTGATCCTCCTGCCTCAGCCTCCTGAATCATTGGTGTTTTAGGTATGTGCCACTATGCTTGCCTCAGGCAGAGTTCTAATAATCAGAACGTGACTAGGGAGTTATATAATGTCTAAGACATCGTTAAGGGATGAGAAAAAGTTTTCATAGTGTAATCCAATCYGTGATTAGCGAAGCAGAACTGTTTTATCCTTATATTTCCTAGAGTTAATGATCTTGATTAATTGGTTCAAGAGAGTATCTGGCAGTTCCCAAAGTCCAAGCTGGGTCTTCTGACTCCAAGCCTAGTATTGTTTTTTCCCTCATGTACACAACATTGCCTTTCCCCATGAGTGTTGGCCAAATGCCACCCTCCCTCCAAGTCCCAAGCCGTTATTGCACAAGTCAGGAGTTTAACACACACATATTTTGAAGTTACTGACCCTTGGCCAAACTTGTGCTAGCAACACAGTCTTGTAATTTCCAAGGTCAAACAGACTTCAAAGATTGCTGTCATGGCAGGATTCGGTGGTAGATAGAGAACAGAATCTCTCGTCCTTTTTGTGGTTTGTTCTCCTTTTTCTCACAACCCTCTAGCACCCACCTGACTCTCAGCTTAGATAAAGGGAACTGCTCAGCCTGCAATGATCATCCACTGGAAGGGCTATCTGAGGTGGCCCCCAAGTCTGCTGTTTAGCTGCACGACCTTAAGCAAGACCTTGTCCCTCTTTAACCTCATCTATAAAATGAGGTGGTTGTGGGGGTGACCCCACAGGATGTTTCTGTAATGCTGTCACCCTACACGCACTGGCTTCTGGGGGTCAACTGCAGTCCTYGTAGCTAATTTGGTTATGGTCTCGCTAATTTGCTTAGGGCCTTGCTAATTTGCTGAGGTTAGCTTTGAACTTTTGATCTTCCTGCCTGAGCCTCCCAAGTTGCTGTGATCACACGTGTGTGCCACTGTGCCTGGCTGGCACACCACTGTAACAGGAACTTTCTGGACAAGGATTCAGAGGAGACCAACACAGTGTCAACTTTAAGAACCTGGGCTCTAGGCTCAGATTTTCTAGGATCAACTTTACTAATGGCCTATCATCTCTCACGCCCCAGTACACTCCCCTGGAAGGCAGAGAAATAAGAAAACCCATTGTGAAGCTCCTCACCTGGGAACCAGACTGGTTTATTAAACTGTCCTTAGTAGATCTTGGAACCACCAAGCAGTTTTTTTTTTTTTATTTTTTTTTATGTACTGGGGATTGAACCTCTGAGCCACATTTCCAGCCCTTTCTGTTTTTTTTTTTTTTTTTTTTTTTTTTTGAGATAGGGTCTAAGTTTCTTAGGACTTCACTAAATTGCTGAAGCTAGCCTCAAACCTGTAATCCTCCTGCCTTAACCTCCCAAGTTGCTGGGATTCTAGGTCCATACCACCAAGGGCTAAGAGAGTCTTTTTGAATGAGCTATGTCTACTGAATAAAATTATGAGTTCCTCGATTTTCTTGGGGTTCTATGTCRTAAGAATTTTTACACATTAACATCTTTGTAATGTTAATATTAGTAAATATATTGCTTATATTAGAACCTGCCTCTTTGTGCCTCTGATGAGGTGGAGTGTGGCTGAGCACAGGACTGCCCACATGACTGTCAGTCATGGACTGTCAGTCACCTGATAGATAGAAAGGCTGTCTGGTCACCTCATCTAGAGAGGAAGCAGTGATAAGCTCTGTCTGTGGGGCTGGCCAGGATTATGGCCTCCCCGCCTCCTTAAGAGWGGGTGGGTGGTGAGTCTTTAGAAAGATAAACAATTAGATAACAAACTCTTTTCAGTAATTGCTAAGAAACGAGTGTCCAAAAAAAAAAAAATCCTGGTATCAAATATTATGTTAGGTAGACAAATTAAGAGGTTTCAAAACAAATTCTGGACAAATACCTGTTTCTTAAAGTTCTGACCCTTTTCTTGCTTTTTCTTTTTAAATAAAAAGACTCAGTTAGTTGGGGCTTGGTAAGATAAAGGGAGATTTCCCTGTTCTTTGGTCAAAAATCCCTTTAACGTTTTTTTTCACAAGTATTAAATTGGATAATATAAGCACTGGACAGCAGCATTTGGAAGATAATAAGCGCTCAATATATGTTAACCACTATTATACAAATTTTCACAAACCCATAGCTCTGGGTTTGAGAGGATGGGGCTGAAGTGGATGTTATCTTTGAACGTGATCTGCTATTCTCTGCTCTGACCCAAGAGAAAGATTGCTTACTGACATCATTCCTCTACCTAAACTTGGAAACGTCAGTGAATCCCCGACCAGCTTTTCCTCACCTCCTAAGTGGCTGATTTTTGAAATCAGATGTCTTCTTTTGTAACCCTTTCCCAGCTGTTGAGCATCTTGACCCTGTTGACTTTAGAGGTGTCTGGCCTGGGGCCCTCTGGGCTGCTTTTCACTCAGGAGCGCCCCCTGCAGGAGAGATAGTGAAACAGCGGGGAAAGCTGTGGATTTGGAGTCAGAGCCATGAACTGGACTCCTGGTTCTGCTCTTGGCTCCTGTGTGGCTTCAGACAAGCTAGTTGAAGTTGACCTCTCTTTTTTTTTTTTTTTTAATTATTTATTTTTTAGTTCTCGGCGGACACAACATCTTTGTTGGTATGTGGTGCTGAGGATCGAACCCGGGCCGCACGCATGCCAGGCGAGCGCGCTACCGCTTGAGCCACATCCCCAGCCCCAGTTGACCTCTCTTGAGTTTCAGATATCTTCAAAGATACTCTCTGTCTTATACATTTTTTACTGAAGGATACAGCTATAAGTGATTGGCTTACAATGTGATGTTCTGGAGTCCCGGGCACCTCTTAGCTTTGGTGAAGGCCCTGTGGCTACATCCCAACATGGCGGCTGGCACCATGGTGGAAGTGAGAGAAGCAGGTCATGTGGCAAGACAGGAAGCCAGAGAGTRGAGAAAGCTGGGCTCGMAAACTCGTCTCTTGAGAGCAAAGCTACTCTGCGAGGTAGGCATCAATCCCTTCCAAGGCTAGCCACCCTCCCCTGGGCCCCGCCTCCTGCAGGTTCCACCCCTCAACAGGGCCACACTGGAGACCCAGCATCCAGCGCACATGCCCTTGAGGGACACACACTCAAACCATGTCCAAGTCACAGCAGCCACCTCCAGAGGCCCCGCCTGTCAGAGTCTGTGGGATGGCAGCGCTCAGCCAGGATGGTCCTGCATGTATATGAGAAACGTCGAGTTGGCTTCTCCAAACACTGTATTCAGAGAAGGCCAGTGGGGACAGATTTGTTAAGCTGTTTCCAACAGCCTGGGCCTGGGATGGGGCCACCTATCTGGGAGGATTTTCTTGAAATAAGAGACTTAGGACCCTGTTCCTTGAGCCTCTTTATTGCCTGCCTTTCTCCCCAGTTGAGGTCCTAACCCTAAAGCCCAACAGCCCTCAGTGGAACTTGATTTCCTCGTAATCTGTGTGGGTGTCTTTGGGCATGTGGGTGGCCCACGGTCTGTGGCCTGGGAAGGTGAGAGTAGCATARTGGAGCTCCTCTGGGTCATTCTTGGGGTCCAGAGCTTGGGTGGACGATCTGGGCTTTGGGCAACCGAGGGGAACAGAATACAGCTCCTCTGGATTCTTCTTTGGTTCTGGGGAGTGAGTGCCTGGAGAGGGGGTCCGAGAAGGGCTGCTTGGTGTAGCCTTCCGATCCTGAGCCTGCAAAGTCAACAACAAATACTGAGGCCTACCTCGTGCCAGGTGCTGATGGGGAAGGGGTCAGGTCTGGGAGTGACGCAGCGTCCTGCCCTGCTGAGCCCACATTCCATCTTGGGGGCCAGCACAAACACTAGACAAGCAAAAGTGTGATAATGAATCCATGAGAAATTCAAGCAGAGGGGGAAGACAGTGGAAAGGAAGGTGGGGTCACTATTAGGGTGTCCAGGAAGAGGAAGCACCATCCCAAAGACATGCCTGCTGTATTCACCGGGGGCTGAGAAAGGGGAGTCCCTGGATGGATGAACAGGTAGAGCACACGTGGCAGATGCAGTGATCTTACTCGGCCACAAAGGGGAGGAGCCCTGCCACTTGTGACAACACGGACAGGTCTGGAGGGCTGGGCAGAGAGTGGCGTCTGAGTGTGAGGAAGAGCAAGCCCCGTGGGTAAAGCAGGTGAGTCTGGAGAGACAGGTGGGGAGCCAGGTCAGCAAGGGCCTTGTACACCTGGAGAGGTCTTTGGATTTACTCAAAGTCTGGCTGGAAGTCGCTGGAAAGTGAGATATTTTGATTTATGGATTTATTTAAATTTATATCTTATATATTATAGAGTCAGAGGAAGTTTCAAAAATAGCACAGGGATGTCCCACAGGCCCTTCGCCTGGTTTTCCTGTGGTTACATCTTGCAGAGTTTGTGGGGCAGCATCCAGACAAGGAAGATGGCTGTGGTACAATGTGTGTGGAGTGTTCTGTGTGATGGTATTGCCTGGCTGGTGCTGCGGGCTGCGCGGAGTCTCCTCCACGTTCATATGCTGAAGGCCTGATTCCTAATATCTCAGAATGTGACTGTGTTTGGAGACAGGGTCTTTAAAGAGGTAATTAAGGTAACATGAGGTGGAGTGAATGGGCCCTAGTGCCGTAAGACTGCGGATCACAAAGGCACATGGAGGAAAGACCAGGGGAAGACCCAGGGAGGAGGCAGCTGAACAAGCCAAGGAGGGTCCTCAGGAGAGACCAGCCCTGCCTGCATTTATCAGGGACTTCCAACGGCCAGAAGTGTGACAGAACAGATTTGTGTTGTTTAAGCTGCCTGTTCCCGGGTTCTTTGTTACGGCAGCTCCACAGACTAGAACACACAGGTAGGCCCKCGGGACCACTGGAGCGGAGACCCAGGACTGCATGTCACCAGCGCGCTCCTCTTGCTGTCCTTCCAAGTCCTGCTCAGGGCCCAGCCCTATTCCTCCCCTGTTCTCCACCTCTGTAATCTCATCAATTTGACAATGGGATGAATATTGAATGAGACTGGCCTTTTTCACAATTTTTTTTTTGGTCCCTAAGACCTGTCCAACTTGTTGCGTGCTTCAGAAGCAAGTTCCTCTGGGTGCTGAGTGGTGTTCTGTGGGATGGGCATACTGCTTGCAGGATGTCATGGGGTGGGGCAGAGTGCACCGAGTGGGCCTGCAGACGGTGGCTGTGGTGGCTGGGGAAGGAGTCAGTGCATGGGCTGCAGCAGTGTGGGGGGAGCGGTGGGGGGGTGTGTTGAGGGGACTTGCTGCCCGGTTGGTTGTGGGGAGTGCAGAGAGTCCTGTAAGATGGTTCTGGGGCTTTGGACTTGTCTGGGCAGGTGTGGTGTTGGCTAAGGTGGGGATGGAGGGGGAGGCAATATGGAGAGTGGTCAGAAGATGGTTTGGGGCAGGCTCGGTGTGAGATGCCCACCAGGCATCAGGGTGGAGATGCTGTCAAAGGGGTGTGGCTGTGGAGTGCAAGGAAGAAGCCACAGAAATGAAGGCTGGCGAGGTGAATTTGAACTCCACACTTGATTCTTTGTCCACCCTGAAGTCTACAAGGCAACGGCGGGGGCAGGGCAGGGAAGAACGTGGGCAGGACAAGAGGGGGATGCCTGACCAGAGATAGAAACGATAGGCAGCAGCGTGGCCACTCACCCTGCGGGCGGCCTTGGGGACCACGTTGATATATTCCAGGATGGTGCTGCCGCGGGACACCTTGGGCCTCGCCCCTGCCTGGGGCGGCGCCTTCCTCAGAGTCTTCACGCTGCGGGAAGCGACCCTGGCCTGACCCCGCTGYTGCCCCTGCCCGTCCCCAGCCCCAGGCCCGGGCGCTCCTGCTCCCACTCACATGGCCAGGATGATGCAGAGGGAGAGGACCGTCATGACGCCGATTCCCAGAAACACTCCGCGGGAGAACGCGGTGGGGACAGACGCCTCCTCTACACAAGGAGAGGGCCGGCCGCTCACTGTCCCCGGGTCCTCCCAGCTCCCCAGCTCCTGYGCCCACCGCGGGACCCTGCGCCTGCCCCACCCAGACACCTCCCCCTGACCTGGCAGCAGCAGGACGGTGGCGCTCTGGGTGCCATGGGCGTTCTGGGCCTCACAGCTCAGCCTGAGGTCGGAGCTGAGCGCCCCGTGCAGGCTCAGGGAGCTGTTGGCCCAGGGCCCCGCGGAGCTRGAGSTGACCCTGAGGGAGGCATTGCTGCTGTTCCCCTCCAGCAGCCCCTCCCCCAGCCGCCAGTGCAGGGAGGGGGSCGGCCAGGCGCAGGAGGAGCAGCTGCAGAGCAGAGCCTGGGCCTCCCAGGAGCAGGAGGGTCCCAGCAGCCTTGGGGGGTCTGAGGAGCAAGGAGAAGGGTCAGCAGATGCCACCTCGTCCCAACCCAGGCGTGCCCTCCCTCCCCTCCCGGACTCACAGTGCACAGAGAGGCTCAGGGAGAGGTGCTGGGAGCCCAGCG